TCCTCACCTGACAGCCAGTCTCCTCCAGGTTTCAGATCCTCAGCCACTGAGGGGCCCCTGTGAATAGAGCAGGGCTGGGACCTTCATACTGAGACCTCCAGGTGTAGCTAGGGAAGAGGCTGGGAGAGAAGGAAAAGAAGGATGATTGTCTGCAACCCTCCTCAGGCTGTCAGGTGTCAGGATGGGCCTTCCTGTCCATCAGAGCTCCCACCAGGTCCTTTAGAACCTCCCATGCCCAGGAGAATCAGACCTGAGTGAAGGGAGCAATTGAGTCATTACTTTAGTCCTGAGCTCAGAACATCTTTGGCAGGGGTGGGGTGACTCTATGATGTGCAAAGGGTGGGCAGAGATTGGTACAGGCTGCTGGTCCCAGGGCAGGGGTGGCAGGTTCAAGGAAGATGTGACTCTAGTGGGGGCAGGCCTGGAGATGGGGAGTCACTGGGGTGCTGGAGCCATAGGAAGAAAGATTATACACACACACACACACACCTTACCTAATAATAGACAAACATGGTAAATGACCATACCTTCGCTACGCCTCCCATTGGCTACTCAGCGAGATATGTAAATTAACCACCAACAACGATGGAGGTTAATTTGCATAAGTAGGCGCGAAGCGGTGAAGACTGAAGGAGGCTCCAGCCAGAGCGAAGGCCTGGGTCCCGGGTGCCAGAGGAAAACCGGTGCCAGGAGCCAGGGGAAGGGAAGGCCTGTTGCACGAATCTTTTTGTGCAACAGGCCTCTAGTATATTATAAAACAATACGCAAAAGTCTCATGAATTTAAAAAAATAGCAATAAACGTTGCTTTCCGTCTTTTTGTGGAGGATCAGTTACATCTCTGCATCGTGACTTTTTATGCAAATGATATTACCAAAAAGTGCCAAACCTCACAATTTCTTTCTGTCCACAAAAGTAATTATGTATTTTTAAAGAACAAAATTATATTTACAATTGTTTCCATTAGTAGCTTGTTACAGTACAATATTTAAATAAACATGCTTATATTCTGAAAAACGGAGTTCCTTTGTTGTTTTGTATTATTCTTTTTTAGAGAATTTTTTAGTTTATCTGAGCCAAACATGACAAATACCAACAGCAAGATCTCAAACCCTGAGAATAACAAGGTGCTTTTTTTTACTGTCTATGAGATTTTTGTTTGTGTTTATCTTTTGCTTAATCCCTTCTTTTTCACCCTGCACCCCAACACACCACCTCTGACAGCTGTCAGTCTGTTCTCTGTATCCATGAGTCTGTCTTTGTTAGTTTATTTTGTTCATCAGATTCCACATAGAAGTGAAAATATATGGTACTTGTCTTCC